GGTTTTACATCAAAAAAGGTTTTACATCAAAAAAGTTTTTAATTAATAAACGTAAGGGTGTACAAATGAACAACGCCTAAGGGATAAAAATTATCCCTTAGAGTTAAGGGGACAGCGCGACATTTGTACAAAGGCTCAATTCACAATAACGTTTTGCGTGAACGTAGCACAAGCTCTCATCACAAATGAATTAATTTTAATTGACAACTTGTTTTAATTACAGTTTGTAACTACGGCAAATTTATTTTAAAGAAGAAGGAGTCTTTAAAGTACAATACAATTATAATTTAATTAAAAATATTTTTCTAACAACAATCATTATTAATAATCGGATTTTTTATTCTCACAATTAAGTATTTTTTCAGACTAACAATTTGTTTTTATTTATGTATGTACACATGTATGAATTGTCATCCCACATTTCATAGAAATTGAAATATTCCTTTTTATTTATGATTACTTCGTATATAAAATATACATATAAAATAATGTTGATATTTACCAGAAAAAGAGAACGAAACAAAAAAGGTTAAAAGGTTAAACTGCTGATAATTTCCTTAGAAATATTTAAAAATTATTTCACTGAACTTTATGACACGAGCAAAAATATTTTTTACATATACATCTTCTATATTAAAATATTTTTATAGTCAACACATATGCTAAAATAATTACGTATACAATTTTAATGTCAAAAAATGGGCTCCAAATTTAATACAAAAACAAAATTTAAGAGTAAGAGAAAATTATTTCCAAAATAAACAATACTGTGAATTTTTACGGTATTGAAGATTTTCTAAGGAAATTTACATTAAAATGTCATACGATAAAAATATTACCGTTATGTTTGTGAACCCCTTACAATATATGAGGCGTAACCTACATAAATTTTACTTTTGTTTTAATCCGTCAGGCATGTCTTCTATATTAAATTTTTTGATTTTAGATAGCAATGTAGCGCCAACACCACCTCTACTCAATTTTTGCTACATAGAACATCAACTCCGTAGAACGCCATGAAATAACAGAAGTTTTTTTAAAATTTATTAAATTTTAATTTAGAATTAAAAAATATATAAATTTTACATAATCGCTGAATAATTAATTATTCGTCATTGTGAAAATTCACAATAGAACGTGGAGACTATAATTATATTTTATTTAAACAAATAAGTGTTGCCAACGTAAGTCAAAATATAATCGAAAAATATTTTATACAAATTACATTTTTTTGATTTATTTTTTAAATTTACGTTTATTTTAAAATTTATTAAAATAGAAAATTATAATATTTTATATTTTGTATTTTTTAAAACTTATAATATTTATTTAAAATAATAATAGTACAAGTATAATTATTTTTAAAAATAAATTTTCAAAAAAAAAAAAAATAAAATAAAACTAAGAATATTCTAGAACTATGAAAAACACAAAAAAAAAAAATAATGTCAAAAATACTGTTCATAAGTACAATGTGTGAGAACATATTTATTATTTTATGAAATTTATACGTGTATAATATATAATTATATTATTAATAATTTAATTATGAAGAAAAAAGTATAATATTAAACCTTCTTTCTTATTTTGTCTCGTTTATGTGCTAATAATAATTTATAATAATAAATTTTATATTCTAATTTCAATTTTAATATTTTTATATTTTATTGTTGTTCTTTTATTATAAGTACTTTTGTTTTAAATTTTATTTCATTGGACCTTTTATTTCAAGTATTTTTGTAATTTTAAATATTTTGTCCTACATAATATAATTATGTAATTTAAAAACATAATTAATTTTTAAATTTATATTAGTGAAATTACAAATTATTAATGAAATTTCATAACACATTAATATAATTTTTAAATTCTATTCAGCACAAATATGCCGCTGAATTGCTAAATTCAATTGAATCACATATACTTTCATTATGGAAATACTTAAAAAATTACATTACTGCATTATGGAAATTAATTAAATTAAATTTTTCCTTGTATATGTTTTTAAAATCCATCCCTGACTTTAAAATTCCATTATTAAAATATCAATTCACAATTCAGCTTACGAATTGTAATTGCTGAATTGTACAGTAATAATATTAGTACAGTTTTACTGTAATTTGTAAGTCACAGAAACAATCACATTCCAATTTTAAAATTAAAAAAAAAAAAGAAGAAAAAAAAATTGAATTTTTTTTAAGTTAAAGCTTTTTCTTTCTCTTTCTTTTCTAAATCTTTTCATTTTTGAACTTTCAGTTCATTAACTTTTAAAGCCTATATTATATTCAATATTCAGTGTTTCTGAAATAATGTTTTACATTAATTCAAATATATAAAATATTATTTGTTGCAAATAAAATATATTAATACTTAATAATTAAAATTGCGCCAAAAATTATGCAATCAAATTCTAAAATGAACCGTTCAAAATCGGAATTGAAGAAATAATGTATTAACATATAATTCAGCAATTACCACTTTATAAGCTGAGTTCTGAATTTATAGAGTATTTCTACAATTCCGATTTTGGGATTACTAGTAATTAAATTTATTTATTTTTTTTTTTTTATTTTATTCTAAAATTTTATTATGCAATTGAAATTTTTAATTGTGTTGGTTTATGCTGTATTTTATTTTGATTACTAATTTAAAAAATAATATTAAAAAATTTGTTTTTATATAAAAATAAAAATAAAAATTTTTTTTTTGTGCAAAAATTTTCAATATGGAAAAATATTTTTTTTTTAATCTTTGTTAACAACTCGTATTTTTTTTTATTTGTTTTTTTTTGAATTTTCTCATTAATATTTTAAATTTTTTTAAATTTTATCAAATGAATAATGTTATTAGTTGCAAAATAAACTTTTTTTTTCAGTACAGGTTAATTATTTTTCATTATATATATTTTAAAAATCTTGAACATCTAATATTAATATTTTAATAATATTTTTTGTAATATTTTTCATTAATTGTGCATAATAATCATAGAAATACAATTATAGATACATACATATAAATGAATCATTAAACCCTGACTTCAAAAATGCTGTAATATATTACTAATATACAATTCAGCTTATGAATAGTAATTGCTGAATTGTACAGCAATACATTAGTACTGCAATTTTGAAGTCACGGTATGTCTCAACGTATATTATATACATATTATAATAATTATTATGCATTATGAATTTATTTAAGTAATTTTAGTCTTAATATATAAACAATTATTAATATTTTAAGTACATAACGGTATTTAATAAAATATACTGTTATACTTGATGATTATTATACGGTATAAAAGTATATGTATTTGGACTGCTTGTTTTTTTTATCTATTTTGTATTTTATTATCACGATAAGTTTTATTTTGTTAATTTCTCAATTTTATCTCAATTATATAATTAAATATATATGGCATGTTACAATCGAAATATGAAGATTTCTATTAGAAACTTAAGAGCGATTTTAGATTCAAAAGTAATAATCGTCATAACAGTTTTATGTGATTATTAGACGTTAAAATTATCAAAGTTTTTGGCGTCGATAACGACAATGCAACGCCAAAAATATGCCAAATCTTTCGAATATTGTTATTCATATTCATTTATATACAGAACTTAATATTTAAGTTCGGTTACAATCGGGTGACATTGGTTCGGTGGTGAATAATCAGTTAATAAAATTAACAGTTGACATATTTATTCACTTCGAAATTGCAGTATATTAATACTGTATTACATCAATTTTGAAATCAGGAATTGCTTTATAAAACAAATAACCTTAAAAAATAGGTACAACTAAAAATACTGCTTGTTTACATATTTCAATTTTCGATTATAATTTGCCATATTATTTATAAATAAATGTCTTTGTTTAAAATAAATTATAGTAAAATTATATTAATATTATAAATTTTAAAAAGGAAGATATTGTTATGAATTTAAAAATAAATTAATTTATTGAATTGTAAATTTAAAGAAAATCTATGAAAATTCTTTTCTTAATTTCAATTTTACATGAATTAATTAATTAAATAATTAAAAAGAATTTCAAAATAAAATTTTGATTGTTAAACTAGCTATTTATTTTAATTATTTATTTATTGTTATTTGTAATTCACTTATATTTTTTTGTATGGCATTGTTATTTTAATTTAAAAAAAAAAATTGTACTCATTCTCAAATGGACGACAATTGTTTTGAGATTTTTTTTTGTTTGTTATTCAAGTGTGTTTTGTAATGTTGGACCTGAATTAATAATTAAAAATATTATTAAAATTTTTAAAAATTTATTTCGTTATTCTAAATTCGGTATTCGATTTTGTTTTGTTACAAGAAAACCTAGTTTCCAATATTATTTTCTTTTCTTTAATAATTAATTTATTTTGAAATTATAATTCAGAATTATATTTTTTAATTTTAAATCTTCTTTTTTTTGTATTTTCAGTTTTTAAAATTCAAATATTGCCATTATTTTATATATATATAGCTATTTGAAATTCGGTTTCTTTTCATAAATTTTATAATTAAATACAATAATTTATTATTGTTGTATACTTAGTATAATAAGTAAGGTTACATGTGTTTTGACTTTGATCTTATGACTTTGAAATTTTAATAATATAACAATAATACATAATTCAGCTTATAAGTTGTAATTATTGAATAATACAGTAATACATCGTAACTTCAAAATTGCATCAATAAATTACTTATACAAAATTCAAGTTATAAATTCTAATTTATACCATATTGCTGCAATTATACCATATTGCTGCAATTTTGAAATCACTCATAATTTTTCTACAATTTTACAAAGTCACGATATACGTATTATATAAAATTATTATATAATATTGGAAATTTTTCTAGTACATAATTTAATTTTTATGAATGTTATTCTATTATACTTAAAAATTAATTTGCATGTCTCGATTTCAAAAATTCAATAAAATATTATGACATTTCTTTAATATTTCTGAAAAATTAATACAAAATATAATGCAAAATCGACTTGGCATCAAACATTATTCTACATTTTATTCAAAATTTTATTTTATTCTATAATTATAATTTTAATTGAATAATTGAATTTTAATATAATTAACTAAATTCTTAATTAATAACTTAAAAATTTCGAATGTTATTTAAATAATTTTTAATATTTTGAGACAAAAATAAATACTAAATAGTAATAACATTCATAGCGTAAGTACAAAATTCTTGCACAATCCAGTAACACGGTATTAATACACAATTCAGCTTATAAGTATGAATTGCTGAATTATGTATTAATACCATATTATTGCATTTTGAAAATCAATATTTCCATATACATTTTGTAATTACAATATTTTACAATCATTACAATTATGAATTATAAATAATAATTTTCTTATTGAATATTTTTACATTCCAATTACAATATTATATTTTTTAAACCATTAATTTATTTTTATTATTTGTTTCATCTACATTATTTATTTTAATATTATCATCTTCAACATCTTTAATCATTTTTTCAGCTTCTTTAACTGTTTCTAATGTTATTGTTGGACGACGATTTTTAACAAAATTCTTTTTTGAATCAACCCGATGTATTTTAACTTGTTCAATTGTTTTCTTATTTTTATTATAACTACCACCATTACGAAAATATTCTTCAATTTCTGATAATTTTTTACCATGCGTTTCTGGCATAAATATTAATGCAAAGAAAAATCCAATAACTGATACACATGCAAACATCCATTGTACAGCATAAGCACCACCTAAAAATTCTGATATTGTTCGATAACTTTGTATTGCAATAAACATTAATATATTAGCCATTGAATATGATAATGAATGTCCAATACCACGAATTTCAGTTGGAAATAATTCAGCTGTCATTGTCCATGGTATACTTAACAAACCGATCATTGATGAGCATACATATAACATAAAACAAAGAACTGGTACCCAATATAAATCAGTTTCTTTCTTTTTTAACCATAATGTAAAACAACCAGATATAAACATACAGCCAGCCATACCCAATGATGATGTCATTATTAATTTACGTCTTTTAAAACGTTTTAACAGCCATGCATTACCAAGTGACATCACAAAACGTGTTACACCAACAAATATTGATGCTGTATAGGCATTTATTTCAGAATTTACTTGCTAAAATTACAAAATAAAAGAAAAATGTAAATTAATTAAAAAAAATATAAATTTTTTAAATAATTAAAAATAGAATTAAATTTTATGCAAAATTTTAATAATTTCGTGATTCTAAAAAAAATTCTCAAATTTTAAGCTTCATTAATTCACAATTTATATTTTAATGACAAGTTACAATAGAAGTGTTAACAATATCATTAACTCCTTTTAATATCCAAAATAATAATTAATATTTAATTACCTGGAAGAATGTTACAGCAAAAAATAATGTTATATAAATTCCACTAAATTGTTGAATTAAAAATAACCAAAATAAAATAATTATTGGTTTATAACCAGTTGGTTTTAAAAAATGTGCCATTTTGGATTGTTTCCAATTCCATTTTATTTTACCATTTGTATCAGTTTTTGCATGCTCTTTAATTTTTTGTACAATTTTACTTTCACGTTCTCTTTGTAATGCACTCAAATGCATATCAACTAAACTTTGACTCTAAAATATTTAAATAAAATTTAAAAATTTATTAAAATATTCATAAATTTTAAATAAACAAATTCTATATATACATTTGTATATGAACTTACTGAACTTTCTGGTTTTGGATAACCCTTATATAAATATGCTAATGATATACCAGCATCTTCCATACGACCTTTAGATACTAACCATACTGGTGATTCAGGTACAAATAATTGAACAAATATTACTGGTACAATTGTATAAATTATATTTAACCATGCTACTAAACGCCAATTCATATAAGCACCTTTTAAATATGCAATTATCATTCCTGTATACGAACACGAAAAAGTTAAAAAAAATTTATTAGTATTATGGCAACCACTTACATAATATATTAATAAAAATAGATATGTATATTTTTTATAAAAATTACCAAAAGATGCAATTGTTGGAGCTGTTGAGATCAATGAACCACGAAGATCTGGTCTTGCTACTTCAGTTATATAAACAATTGCTGGACTTGTGCCAATTGCTTCATTTGAAAAAATAATGTAGAATAGAAAAAAAAATTATTAATTTTTTTTTTTAGTATTATCGTGCATCAAGGATATCCAATTATATCTTGTTGAAATAATAATTAAATCAAGTTGGAGTAATCTGGATTTTGGACTTTTTTTAATTAGAGTAATGAAAGCAAAATTAAAATTTATACTATACTATAACTTCCCGCAATTAAAAGATTATTTATAACAACAACAGCGGCATCTCATGACGGTTGTTATAGAAACATGATTGACGTCTTTATAAAACGTACACCGTACATTACACTGTAAACTTAAAATTGAAAATTCGAATTCAGTGCGCTCGCCCGCAGACCGTTTTGGTATTATTACTTTGATTATCGTTGTAATGTTTGTTACCGTCGCATTAGCCGCTTCAATTTTAAATAAAACAGCTGGAAAGACTGTCATATTGGAAAAATTACAGTTTAACCCTAAATAAATACTAAAAAATGACTAAAAATTTTTCAAAATCAACTCCATCTATTAGCCATATATATGCTTTCTAACATTAAAGAACCAAACCAATTGCAATTCTTATAATAATATTCATTGCACATAAGATTACAGTAATAACTGTGTTAATAGGATATTTAAATAAATCAAAATAAAAAAGCACTAACTTACCACATCCTAAACCAGTTAATATTCTACCCAATAATAATGTTATAAAATTTGGTGCAATCGCTATTGATATCCAACCTAATGTACATGGTATTGCTGCCAATTTAATTGTATTTAATCTACCGATCCATTCCATTAATGCACCAGCAAATAAGCATCCTATTGGTACAGCAATAACAATTATTGATGCTGTAAAACATAATATAAAAAAAATATAAAAAATATTATATATAGAGATTGAATGAAAAATAATGATATCATTTCAAATTATTCTGTTTTTTTCACTACAATAATAATAATAAAAAGTTCTATAAAATTGATTTTATTTTTTATATATAATGCCATATAACCAGAGTGTATTAAAGTTAAATTCCTAAAGGATAATGAAGAGTATAATATAGGAAATGCAATTTAATAATAATTCTGAATAAATCAGAATGACACCCATTCATAAAAAAGTATTATATAATGTAATAATAACAGTAATAATAAAACCAGAAAAAATTTAAAATTAAAATGAACATTAAATAAGGATTCGATTACACGATTATGAACCGTCAATGTATTTTTTTCAAAAAGAATGAAAAAAAAAAAATTGATAATGATATTTAAATGGAATATCGAATACCACCGCATGATTATCAAAAAAGGAGGAACAAAAATTTTTATAATTCGAAATTATTTCTTCTTTCAATTTAAAATAAAATAGAGAAACTACTCAAAGGCGAGAGACTACAACCCACATCTACATATATAACACGAATATAAAAAGGAATCAGCGCGGAAAAATGTAAAATAATATTACAACTAAACGGTAATTAAATCGATTTTCAAATTTATACTTCAATATAAAAATTGGAGACTAAAAAAATTCTGAAAAAGAATGAACAACAGCTTTGTTAGATTATGAAGTCACTTAATTTAAAGGAAAATTGAACATGTGGAATCCAATACAGCCACCCACAAAAAACCAATAGACTAGGTCGACAAGAAGGTCCATCGGCGAACCCCAAATTAACACTCAACAACTCTACCATGTAATGCGAATTTCAAAAGCCATCTACCGGGGCCAATTACCCACCTTGGCGAATCTCAAGAGCCACCCAAAAGATTTCCGAGACAGGCCATCGTAAAAGAAGATACGCTTCCTCTTCCACATCAGAGACACACAAGTACAAGGAACATGTACCAAATCCTCTACCTCAGGAATATCCCGACATCGCTGACAGATATCCGTTGTGGTAACTCCTAGACTCTTGGTATTTTCGCTCAAGTGATAGTGCCCTGTTACTCACGAATATGCAGAGATCAAGCCCATCCGTATCACAACAACGCAAATGCAAATATCTACATACAAAACTTCGTTCCTTCTTTTAATTTCTATATCTATTGTATTAATGCATTCCTTCAGCGGCAAACGCGCCGATCCATCCAATATGTCAGCACCACCGGACGCCTCAGCCCTTGGTAAGACAGTAATCCATCTCATTTTCCTGTATCGCGCTGTAACGAGGTATCCAGTAGACCCGCACAAGTTAATTAACATTTCCATTTCTTCGCTAAAGCAGCATTTTTTTGTATTTTAATTAAATAATTTTGCTGTCTCTTGTCATCGAGAATTTGATTTTTTAAACCAATTAAAATACAAATATTACGAAGGATGACATACGAATCTCACGACTCCTTAAATTTTATTACAAATCATATTTAGCACTTTAATAAGATGCCGATGGCGCTAATGCCAATGAACTGGACAATGTAATTTAAAATTAAAAAGTAATTAAATTGAAAGTACACCATCAAATCCACAAAAATAAAACAAATTCCAAATATCATTTTCTCTTAATAAACAATGTCATCTCATTTACAACACGTACCTTGTATCAAAATCTTTTTGTAAAACATTAAAAGTATGTCATTTTTATTCGTCAAAAAACCAACCCAACAAAAAAAGGAAACTCAATTAATTTTAATCCTTTTAATTGTAAACATTCAAATGGATTATGTATAAAATCTAATGAACCCTTCTATCTCTGCAAAGCTTCTATTCATACAAAGACATACACATACAGAAATAATATGCTATACGGTCGTATGTTACAATAACAAAATAAAAAATATTTTGTGGTATAAATGTTAAATTAAACGTTTACATAATAATTTTAAATAAACCTAAAATAAACATTAATTACATAGAAAAATAATTAGATCCCTGCACACAATCATTTATACACAAATAAGCAAAACTGTTATAATTATAAGAGGAATCCTTATATAGGAACGCATTAATGTACACACATATGTAAGTCCTAATTTATAAATAAAATTTTGTTTATAGAGAAAAGTACTTAATTGATCAATTTTGTATTTGGCAACTACAAGATATCGAAATTTAGAAAAAAATTATAAAATTATATTATCGAAACCTATAGTGAGTATAACGAGTGGTACTTTTTCTATTTCGCTTTTCGATTTACATTTTTTACACTCCACTCGCGATTTATTACAGTTGTCAATGTCAAATCGATTTGACTATGTCAAAAAATTTGACATTTTTTTTTAGTAAGGAATTTTGGTAAACTCATACGACCTGCAATCGATTACTTTGAAAAACACTTACTTATAGCAATTAGTTAAATTTAAATTTAATTGAGGTTAAGCAATTTCAAAATTTTTAAAGTGAAAACAAAACACACTCGCTCCTGTCAAAATTCCGCAACGAACTGTCAAAATTTATATTGAATACACATACATATATAAATGAGACTGACTAGAATGAGAGAAGTTAATTCAACCAACGACGGTAAAATAGTTTGCAATCCTATATTATCGCTTGCGGTTTTTTTGACATGCCTGAACAGCTGCCGTTCCACTATTGCTCCGTGTCAACTATCGTGCCCCGTTTTCGTTGTCCGCTTTGATTTTGTTCTTATACTTGGAAATATTGAATATAGATAAACTTGGAAATACTGATAAACTTGGAAATTTTGAATATAGTCTGCTAAAAATAACTTTCAGAGTTAATATACACACTTATACATGTTTTAAACCAAACGTATAAGTGTGAAAGTAATTCAAACTTCAACAACACTACAAACCCTCACTGTATACTTTTACAATACCACACAATGAAATCTTAATTTTACAAATTTACATATTGTATCATTTTACATACAAAAACAACAAAAATAATCTAAATGAATATTTAAATAACATGGAAAAAAACAAGGGTAAAATTAATGAACAAATATTAAAGATAATCTAACATAGTATTTCTCGTATATGAAAGGATAATAGGGAACATATACACAAACATTTTCTTAAATAATTGCAAAATTTAATCATAGTATGGAAACAAACTCCAGAAATAGCATAAATTGTTCGTTTCTTTGTCTATTTTGTATTTAAATACTAGCCATCAAGGATATTTTAATTGTGTTTGCATACAAATTAGATTTGTGTTTTTCTATTTTTCATTTACAGACACAATTATTTAACTAGTACTGAAACTTATACTTTATTTCCTGTGTACTATAAATATGGTCTTTATAACATAGATACACAAATATCATGTACATATTTAGATAATTGCTTGCTATTACAAAATTGTACTCATAATCTGGGTAGATTTAAAGATTAAATTAAATTAAGTGATAAAATCAACCTGGCATTAGAACTACCCTTAAATTGTTTGCCCAGATTTCAAAAAATAAAAAATTCAATTGCAAATCATCTGGTAGACTCTACTACCCACTCTACATTACAACTACATTATAAATGGAATTCAAAAAATATTTTCAATTAATAGTATACCTGGGAACAATCAATTGAGCCATGTATTGAGCCCATAAAAAGTGCTACTCATAAAAATTTCCAAAAACAAACTATGGGAGTACTTTTAAATCTAACTTAAATAATTATATTGTAATTTGCATATGAAAATGAAAACTTACCTATAATATCACCTTGTGATTTACTTAATACTAGATCACCTCTAATTATAGCTTCTGTTGTATTTTCTGTTTGTGGAATTAATATTGCTGAATATGCTAATGAAATACCAATAACAATATGAAATGATGCTGCTATAAATGCTGCTATTGCCTGTGGTATAGCAGTTTTTATACTTGTTGGCTCTTGATAATTTGATAATGAACGGCAGCTAGCTATTACTTCACGAAATGCATCATCTTGATTTTGTTCAATTTCTTCTCTATAAAAAAAAAAATTAAATTTTATTTAATTGTATTTTATTTATAAATAAAATATTTAAAATAAATTTAAAATCATGACCGGCATTTTTTAAGCAACAAATCTCATTTCAAAAGCTCAACTGAAATTTATATTTTCGAATTTAGGACTCTGGAATGCATGTCTGCCATCTATTTGATTATTTTTTTGTATTCCATGGATTAACATTCAAGTGCGCACACATACAACTGTGTCGATGTGTCACAATTTGATTGCAATTTTTGGTTAATGCAATTGATTTGAATTGACGCAATAGTTTAGTTTCTTAGATGTGCGCACAACGATTTTACAATCAAGCAGTAATTGTGAAATTTTACATCGCATGTTTGCTTGGGCTCTGTGACCCCTGTCTGACAACTGATAGCAATCACTCTTAAATACTACTAATGTCAAACATGATTCATAAACAGGAATATAATATTGTTCACTCTATTCGGAATCTTGAAAAAAAAATTTTCAAAACACAATTTGTATGTGCACGCATATAAAATTTTTATAAATTAAAAAAGTTTTATTCGACCTTTAAATTTAAACATTTTTAGAATTAATTTAATATTTTTAGCACATTATACAAATATACCGTTCTCATAAAATATGGTAATGACAATTGATCAGTGTATTTTAAACCGGTTTTAATTACATATTTTATTTCTTTTTTATTACAACTACAACAATGTATGATAATACCGTTTTTTTCTATGTATAATTCCATATTTTCTAAATATAAAATTAATAAAAAAATATAAAATTGTCAAATGTGAACACATAGGATGCATTTAAAAATTAAAAAAAATTAATTACAAAAATTGAATATTTTTTAAGTTGTTATTGAAAATTTATCACTTCGTTTTGAATTCCGTCAATTGCGGTTAGATAAAGGAGGCGGACATAAATTGAGATTAAAAATAGAGAATTTATTGTCCAAATAAAGAAGATTAAATAATTGAACCCGGACTCATTATGGTCATTAATCAGTTATTATGTCAAATAATTAATTTGTTATAACTAGAATCAATGAAATGAAAATCATTTACATATTCTGTTTATTGAAATCTGTCGAACATTAACGATTGACATTTAAAACTTATGTTTCTTACATTAAATGTCAAAAATTTAATAAATCATACAAGAATATATCCTAAAGTAGGTCAAGCTAACTTTTTGATTTTTTAAAAATACCAGAAATTGCAACACACTTTTTCTCGAATATTAAATAAAAATTCATGATATGACTACGAGTATGTTAATTGTTAAAGCTTTTATTTTAGCGGTTGTATATGATTTTTTCTTTTATTACACAACATAATGTATGACAAACATGTATGTTAAACTATACATTATATGTCATTTATGGATAAATGTAAATATAACTGCAAATATTCAATGTCAAATCAATTCAGATATTTTATTTTTTCTTTATTTTTTTATGACACAATATCAAATGAAAAATTATTAAAACTTTAATGTGAATTTTGTTTTTTGTTTTGTTTTAAACAAAAATCAATTATTCATTATTATTCGCATCTGAGTTCAAATGAAATCAGCTGTTTATTGTGAATGGTTTTCTTTTATATTTTTGTTTTTTTTTATTTCTTTTTCAATATAATCATAAAAATTATTTTTATTACATTCATACATATGGCTTCGTTCTTAATATAAAAATTTTTTTTTTCTTTTTGAAGTATATTAAAATTTTTTCTGATATGAAACTGTCAAACAACAAAGAGAATTACAATTATTTAACAATTGAAAATAAATTGTTTTAAAACAGAAGACCAAATTTTTTAAAAAATTTTAACAATTTATTAAGTAATTACATCATAATAACGGTAAATAAGATTTTTGTTATTTTTACTCCAAATTTAAGTACAATAGATGCCAAAGTTCTAACCGCTTTAGAGTTTTAGAACAGAAGAGTAGATATCTCAGTTTATATTCTTTTTTAATTTGATTCTTAGTATATATACTCTTAGTCTATATTCGTGGAGAATTAAGAAAGCAAGAGACGACATCCAGAACGCTGATGAAGTCTTCCGGGGGTTCGACAGACCAAAGAGCTTCTGAGAGATTACGACCAGAAGCACTTCAGGAAGATCGCAGGGTTGACTAGGAGTCAGGTAAGAACTCTCACCGGTGTCTTGACGGGGCATTGCAGGCTTAGGAGTCACTTTAAGAGGATAAAATTATATGGTGAGGTCACGTGCAGATTTTACGGGGAGGTTGAGATGACACAATGCACCTTATGAATAGGACCCTCACCTGCAAAGGGTAAATACTAGGGAACTACGCGCTTACTCTGGCAGGGCTGTGGTTACTCGATTTCATCAGGGGGTAGGAGGTTTTGTTGGGATGTGTTCTACATCTAATAGGGGAGCACAATAAATCCTTTATGTTAGTCGCGGTACACCCTCACCCCGTCTGCACAATCTGTAATATACAATCTAATTTATATCACTTGGCTGGCTACTTTTCGCAGTTATCCATTGTTTGATTGACTAAAAATTTTACATCTAATGACAAATAATCGAAAAAATTCGGCATGATCGAAAAATTTGGCAAGATACTTTTGGCATTATAAAAGTATGATTGACGTTCAAAAGCAGTATAAATAATTTTTTAACTCGACAACCAAGTGCGTGCAATTGAAAATTTCAATTCGATATGGATACTGCGTGGTGTTTTCATTATTATAGGTGTATTTATTGACAACCACGTTTATTGAAAACAAAGATTATACTGCTCGTCTTAATTTCGAGATTCTTAAATGGCAAATTGATTTATTGTAGTGTAGAAATTTGAAGTTAATTATAAAAAAATTTATGTATATTTTAAATTTTTATTGAGTTTTTTTAGAATTTAATAAATATTTGTTAAAAGAATTCGGGTTATTTTTTGTATTTTTATGAAATATTTAGGTAATTTAGCTATAGCAATAAATCATGTAAGAATTTTTAAAATTATCTGGAATAAACTTACGTATTTACTTGCAAATTAAAATTTTTAAAAAAACATGTGTATTTGTATGTATGCATCTACATATGTTATTCTGTATTGAAATTTTTACAATTTTGTACAAAAAACTTAATAAATTTTTTATTGAATTTCAATTTTAATGGCAGCTTAACTATATATAAAATGTTAAAAAGATCTATAAACCTCGACCTAAAAATAAAAATTAATTAATTATATAATAAAATATATTTTTATTGCATTCTATAAAATTGAACTGGAAAATTTTTAAAATTTAATACTTTACCTTATTTTTGTTAAAAATAATATTATTTCACTTACAGTTATTTCATAACTTAAAATTTATAATAAAAGTAATTTGGTTGCAATTAATCAGAATTAAGCTCGGGCTTATTTCTGCAATAATTAATTGCAGGCATTCACTATCAGATGTCTCCGAATCATAAGCAGAATATTCTGGTCGAACAGAATTTTAAGGAACTTGAAAATTGTATATGTATATACAACGAATTCATCAGAATCATTCCAAAGTTTTGTTGTGAGTAAATATTGTAGAACTTCTTTCCCGAATTAACATTTATATAAATCTTTTTTCCCATATTCTCAAAATCTTGCCGTTTGTCCCTGGAGGAGCACGAAACCATGGAGCACTTATTGTGTGAATGCGAGGCGGTTGTTCGCCTGCGACTGAGATCCTTCGGGGAGGGTTTTGTGACTCAGGGAAAATCACGCAGCTTGATGTGGCTGCCATACTGCGGTTTGTCAGGGGCCTAGGAGTAGGGCTAATATAGGTGGGGGTGGGAGTCACAAAAGATCCTTTGGTTCGACATGAGGAGGTCTAAGGGCCACGGTCCCCGGGAAAGAAAAAAAAAAAAATTTTTTTGTAAGTAAATATTGTTGGATTTCTTCTTCCCATAGTGTATTCAGGTGTTATTTCTTTAACAACAACTTTAATTTATTACATATTAAAAATACGGAAGACACCAAATTCCATTCGAATAATGATTATATCCGTAATAAAATAATGTTCATTTTTTCCTCAGAAATTCTTCAGCGGCCAATAAAAATTATTCTGATGATTTAACAAATTCATCAGAATCATTCCAAAGTTTTTTTGTGAGTAAATATTGTAGAACTTCTTTCCCGAATTAACATTTATATAATTTTTTTTTCCCATATTCTCAAAATCTTTGAAATGCTTGATTAGGATCTAATAATAAGGCCGAGTAAGATCTATCTAATAATAAGGTGATGATCTTGCAAGGAAGGGAGCGGCAGCTCCTTTCATTGGACCGGAGCCATGCCAGTGGTGACCAGGAGGAACGTCTTGCGTGCCCTGAGTGGATGGGAGGAGCGGCTCAGGATTGAACACTAGAACGGCTGCCCGGGCCTGTCGCCCTCTAAGAAGTTGTGTCTCCCATGGGACTGAGGGGACAGGATCTGGCCATGCTCGGTCGTCCAGATTTGAGGCCATTGGTGGGGATTCGGTGTCCCACCCTCTCGGGTGTCCATCTGAAAAGGATGGATAGGGTGGCGGACGAAGTCTGCCGCTTGTGCCTGGAGGAGCACGAAACCATGGAGCACTTATTGTGTGAATGCAAGGCGGTTGCTCGCCTGCGACTGAAATCCTTCGGGGAGGGCTTGATCCAATAGCCCGAGGAGAATCACGCAGCTTGATGTGGCTGCCATACTGCGGTTTGTCAGGGGCCTAGGAGTAGGGCTAATGTAGGTGGGGGTTTTATTTTTTTAAATCTACTAGTTTACCAAAATATTGTAAATATTTAGCATCTATGATTGACTTTGTCCCATAGTAAAAATTTTCAATCTGTATTTTTGAATTTTCGGATGACGTCGCATACCACAACAATATATTTTGTTTGTGCTTTCTTAGAAACTTTGTCGAAAAATGCTCCAATTACAATGGAACTATCATCACAACGCTGTTCAATTAAAATTTTCCAAACTTTTGAAAATTTTTCAATCATATTCTCA